CCCACGATCAGGTCCAAAACCAGTTCCTTCCAGAAAGGCTTCTGTGAGGGACCCGGTGGTGTTTCTCTGCCAGAGGACAGGCTGCTCTCAGGCTGGTGGCTGCCTCCTGTTGGCCAAAGCCAGCACCATCAGGCCAGTGGGACCCCATAGCTCCTTCCCCCTGCTGGCGAGACCACTCATCCTTCAAACCCACCCTTAGGCTGATGGCCACCAACTTGGACCCTGGTGCCTCCATCCTCTGGTGGGAGTGCCCGCCAGCCCATGGCCCATTCCAGCCTTCCCATCATGCCTGTGGCCACTCTACGCCATGACAACCCGTGATTGTCTTCAAGGGCACGGGGGAGTTAGTGCCAGTGCTGGGGCTGAACTAGGGGGCTCCGAGGGGGCCAAGCACCGCAGATAGAGGCAGACCGCCGAGGGCCCGGGGCCCGGCCTTCACTGAGCCCAGCATCCAGTGTCCAGCCTCTGCTTTCCCTGGGTTTCCTGCCTGCAGTGCCCACAGCACCGGATGTTGGGCACTTCCAAGCGCAGCGACTAACCGCGTGCTGTCCCCATGCTGCTGTCCTGATGGGAAAAGTTCGAGAAGTCCCCGGCCATGGGAGCCTCCCCACACCCCACCCCCGTGGGGGTTTCCGAGTGTGGTCCCGATCAGGCATTAGCAGCGACAAATAGGCGCAGTTAGGGCCCCCCTCGGACTCTCAGACTTGCTGACGCATGGGCACTGAAGCTGGGCCAGCTCTGTGCAGGTCATGCCGGTCAGTGCCACGCTGCTTGCGTTTGGGTGTCACGGCTCTGGAATCGGCTCTAGGGACACCCATGTGCCTCTGGGCCTGGTGTACCCGGGCTCGAGTGGCTGCTGGGAGCTGCCTCCGAGTTCCTCTTACACGGCCCACCACTAAACGCCTGGAGTCTACCATCTTCACCCTGGTGCCACACGCTCATCTAAGCCACTGCCACCCATGCCAGACACCTGCGGTAGCCTCCTGACTCCGCCCTGGCCCGGGCGAGCAGCCTCTGTGCCAGCCAGCCTGCGCCCCAGAGCGCGGCTCTCCTCGCACACCTCGGCGCCAGCACCTTCTGGCTCCGCAGCTAAGCCCTGCTCACATGGTCCGTGGGTTGGGGTTTCGCGACTTTTCTCCGCCCCTCGTCGGACGTGCGTAGGCGCGCAGTCAGGGCATGAATCAATGTGTGCATGGATGACACAGGGACTCACTTCCCCTCCGCGGAGACCTGGCCTCGAGCAGCCAGCTCAGCAAAGGGACACAAGAGGGAAGGCCTCTGGACCCAGGCTCCATGGGGGGCCGTGGATTGGATGGCACCACCCCTCCTGGTCCATCTCTGCTGCGTCCTTGCATCTCTTGATTGGTCTTTTACCGGCTCCCACAGATCCCTACGCCATTGTCCCGTCCTAGATCCCTACGCCATTGTCCCGTCCTAGATCCCTACTCCATTGTCTTGTTCCAGATCCCTACGCCATTGTCTCGTTCCTGCACCAGAGTCAGAAGACGGTGGTGGTGAAGAACACCCTGAACCCCACCTGGGACCAGACACTCATCTTCTATGAGGTGGAGATCTTTGGGGAGCCCGCCAGCATTGCTGAGCAGCCCCCCAACATCGTGGTGGAGCTATACGACCACGACACCTACGTGAGTCGGCTCATCCCCCATACCCCTGTCTGCCTCCTCGCTGCCCTCCTCTTCCGGGGCCCAGGGAGAGGCCAAGAGAAATGGGCCCTTGTGGCCTCCTGGTCCCCATCCAGATGGGCATCCCCAGCCTGGGGCTGATGGCTGCGTCTGCCTCCCCACCCCTGCAACAGGGTACTGAAACACTCCTTTGGCCTAATTACAAATGGATTGCTAGCCTGTGCGCTGTGCCCCTGGCAGACATCGCTAATCAAGCGTGGCCCAGAGAAGGGACAGATGTAGAGAGAAGCCTTGACTGGCTGCCAGGAGGCCTGGGTCTCCCTCTGCCTCTTGCTGGTCTGATCCTGGGCCAGTCTCTCTCCCCAGCAGAGTGGTGCTTGCCTGACTGGGCTGAGAGACCCGTGGCCTGAGGTGAGC